AGCCCCCCACTCCTTCCCCAGAGCCCCCCACTCCTTCTCCAGAGCCCCAGAGCCTCGTGTTCCTTCCCTGGAGCCCTGGAGCCCCTTGTTCCTTTCCTGGAGCCCCCCACTTTTTCCCTAGACCCCTGGATCCCCCCACCCCCCCTTTCCCTGCCCCCCAGTCCCTCACTGTCCCTCTCCACGTTCCCCAGAGCACGCCCCGGCCCCGGGGGTACCTCCTTCGGGAGAGACCCCCCTGCCAGGAGCCCAGAGCCCTCAGCAAGGTAAGGGTGGGGCCTGGAGCCAGGGAGATCCCAAATCTGAGCCAGGGAGATCCCAAATCCGGGCAGGATGGGACCCCCTGGGACACCCCAGGGCCCCTGCCCACCCTCACCCCTGTGCCAGGAGGAGCCCAACCCATGGCAGAGCCTCGACCCCTTCGGAGACTCCGAGGAGAAGCCCTTCAGGAAAGGTATTTTTGGGGGAAACCGGGCAGCTCCAGGGCAGCGGGGACAGCACGGCCCGTGCTGGGTCATTCCTGGCCACGTGGCCCCACAGAGGGACATTCCCAACCCTGTGTCCCTCAGCAGTCCCAGCTCTGTGGTGGCTCCTTCCCCATGGGAAGGTCACTCGTTCCTGGCCACATGGCCCTCAGTGTGCCCAGCCCCACAGAGAGACATTCCCAGTTCATGGAGGGTCATTCCCAGTTCATGGAGGGACATTCCCAGTTCATGGAGGGACATTCCCAGCCCCACAGAGGGTCATTCCCAGTTCATGGAGGGACATTTCCCAGTTCATGGAGGGACATTCCCAGCCCCATAGAGGGTCATTTCCCAGTTCACGGAGGGTCATTCCCAGCCCCACAGAGGGACATTCCCAGTTCATGGAGGGACATTCCCAGCCCCACAGAGGGTCATTCCCAGTTCATGGAGGGTCATTCCCAGCCCCACAGAGGGTCATTCCCAGTTCATGGAGGGTCATTCCCAGTTCACGGAGGGTCATTCCCAGTTCACGGAGGGTCATTCCCAGTTCACGGAGAGACATTCCCAGCCCCACAGAGGGACATTCCCAGTTCATGGAGGGACATTTCCCAGTTCATGGAGGGACATTCCCAGTTCATGGAGGGACATTCCCAGCCCCACAGAGGGACATTCCCAGTTCATGGAGGGACATTCCCAGCCCCACAGAGGGACATTCCCAGCCCCACAGAGGGTCATTCCCAGTTCACGGAGGGTCATTCCCAGTTCACGGAGGGTCATTCCCAGCCCCACAGAAGGACAGTCCCAGTTCATGGAGGGTCATTCCCAGTTCACAGAGAGTCATTCCCAGTTCACGGAGGGTCATTCCCAGCCCCACAGAAGGACATTCCCAGTTCATGGAGGGACATTCCCAGCCCCATAGAGGGTCATTCCC